ACTTCATGTACAAACAGAATCCAAGAATATACCTTTTTCCATTCATCACTGCTTGTAAAGTTGCATTGTGTAAAGGTGCATTGTGTAACTTTTCTGGTGGAGGTCCATCAGATGCTTTTCTCTGTCCAGATGTTATTGTTTTGTCTGGAATGTTTCACAGTATGGCATTAAACCTTTCTATCCTTTCTAGCCCAAACAAGACCAGGTTACAGGTCAGATCTGTGGAGAGGTGACCCCGCTCACAGTCAGAATGCCGTTTTTTCTAGGTTTTTTGAGCTGTAATACTCCCTGTAATTTTATCAAGAGATGTTTAATTTCACACTGTGGAACATTCGAAGCACAGCAATGACATCTCCATAGAAACCAGGAGGTGACAAACCCTCAGCCAAAAAGTGCTCTTACTTTTGATAATTTGCAGTGGCATCCTGCTGGGGTGTTCTACATGTATGTCTATAGATGAATGTTCAGCAGTTACCCTGGCAACACAATGCTTACATTACCAAAAACAGCCAAATACATTTTAAAATGTTGTGAAACCTCAATAAAAAATACAAAATCGAGTCAGGTCAAGTTTAGACATTTTCACCAAAAAAGTGAGAGGGACTCAGTTCTTTATTTTCAGATTGCGGTAAAAGAAACATCAGATTGAGAAACAGAGTTTCAGACAGAGCAGTGCCTCTTGTTAGCATCACACCCCCCAGCGAATGTTGATGAGAAAATATCAATTTAAAGTCATAAAATTTGTGTCCATTCTAACACACACCCTAAAATCCCGTAGTGCCATCTGTATGTGATTCAGTGCTAAAGTGAAGTACCAGGAGCACTGTTCACTGCCCAATCCACACATACCACAAGTGCGGGCTAAACTCAGAGGTTGTGACCCTGTGATGCTTGTTTCACAGCTTCCAACCATACTCCACATTGTTTTGCACTTCCGTTCACTTCTGAGTCAAACATGAGAATTCACATGTCTAAGGTGAACTTAAACTCATCCTTACATGTGATAACTTTTTCAAATGTGCAATAGAAGAAGTGTAAGTTTATAGATTTAGCCAGGAGATTCACTGTATTTCATTAGCAACAAACCAAACAATCTGTCGTCCTGGATTGAAAATGGTGATCTCAGACAACACGATTTTGGGAGCGTCAAACATAAGGTGTTTTGCAGTGCTCATAAAGCCCAATTTATGGATTTATGGATCTGTGTTGAGGTCTATGCTCCATGAAGTAATTCACCACCACAACGCTAGGAGGCAAGGATTTCACGTAAAGTTTGTGTAAAGTTTAACATGAACCATTTCCAATGTGATAGAACAGACTCACCATCAGCAGCACATCCTTTGTCACAGAAAGAACACACATATTCCACTGAGTCGTGTCCTTTAGTCTGACAGAAGGTGACTGCATCAGGACACAAGGAGTGAGCTGTTTTTTTCAATGCTTGTAGTTTATGCAAATTAGCCATGTGGTTTTAAGATCCATTTCTCTAAAATGTAAACAAATGTGCCAAAGCTGTATAAATATATATATTATTACTCAATGTATAATGAAAGAAAAGAAAGCGGAGTACAGGAAATATATGTAGAGCGGTGATAGAGAGGACCAATCACAGCCCTTATTGTCTGTGTCACTTCACCTACTGTCTGCGTCATTTTGACGCATAGTTACGGTCCAGCGTCAAATCATTGATGCAGGACTCATGTAAGTTTCTGTGATGTTTGCAAATGTTAATGTGCACAGAAACATGATTTGAAAAAAATCGTGGATAAAATCGAAATTGTAATATCTGCCAGAAAAATCTCTATTTTTTTCTTTAAATTGTTCAGCTCTAATACAGACATTAGACAGGACAGGACAATACAGTAAGTAAAATATGGAACAATACAATACAAACACATACAATGACACAGCAGATGAGGTCTAAAGTGTGTGTGTGCGCATGTATATATATGTGTGTGAGTGTGTATGTATTGATGAATGAGTGTGAGGTTTCAGCACCAGTAAATATAAATGACTAATTTGTGTATAGTAATGTGTAGATTTTAACAGTATATTGGAGGGATCAATGTTGAGAGTAACAACAACTATGGAAGCAACTTTTTTCCTTATTTTATTAGACGGGATGCTTCCTTTGAATGAAACCATTGAGAGTGTCATAAACATACCAGTGTTTCCCATTAATACACCACACTGTCGTGGCCCCCCCATAGTCTAATTTGGTCCCCCAAAATAAACAGAACTTTATATTGGCGTGACAAAAATAGACTTTGTTGCTACACTGTTCAAATGACTGCTAGAAATAGGCAGTAAGTGACATATATACCTCAAATTAGAAGGGATTAAATTATTAACATGTGGCGTCATAATTTTAACAAAATCTATGGGAAAAACTGCAGACTCATGACATAGTATCATATTTGTATTGTTCATTTTAAAAGTCCCATTTGAGCCCGTGTAGTGCAGTAGCAGTCTTGTAAGTGTAGCCTGGGTCAGTGCGCTGACACTGATGGAGGGGATCCCCTTTGATGACATCATCAGGCACGGACACAGCATTCCACAGGTCACCCAGGGGAGTTGTAGTTCAGCTGCAGTCCCACCCACAGTGCCGGGAAGGGCCGCTGTGCCAGCTCACCCCCTCCGCAGTCACAGTGGTACGGCCCCACAAGCCCCACATGCTGAGGGGAGGACGTGAATCATAACAGAAGGACAGAAAGTGGAAGAGTTCAGTCATAGAGGAGATACTGAAGGGATCTATTCACTAAACTGCACAGTAAACCTGAACTGGACACTTATTTTGGAGGAATATTTACAGAATTGCTCAAGGTTGACCTGCTGGTAAGACGATTTTGCTTCTTATAATGACACGAGACTTGAATGTGCCAGTCCACTTATAATTATATAATGCTGAAACTTAAATGTATGAAGTAATTTGATTTTTGATTTGAAAATTATGAAAAAAATCCTCAGAAGTAATCAGTTAAACTACAGAAATGACTTTATATTAGCCTATTTTTTGTGTGTTCACAAGGAAAGTGTTGGCTATACATTTGTTGTTGATTGATGCTGTTGATTTCGGAGCTGCTTCAACTGATCTAAGCTGCCATAGAGATTGGACACGTGCCATCCCAGTTGAGTGTGAGAGTTAATCTGTGTGTCATCAGTATTGACCACCTTGGGGCCGTTTGTTTACAGCGATCGGGCTAGCTTCCTGCCTTCTCTCCGCTACTGTGGACCGCGCGCTGTTGTTTACACGGCTTTTGAAATAGCTGTGGTCGGAGTGATCCACCATCTGTCCCTGGGGTCGCTCAATTTGGAAGCTAGCATAGGCCCCAGACACGTATATATGTCCTGGATCACTTTGCAACGTATAGGCCTCTATCGGAATATCATTTTTTTTTTCACTTTGGGAAGGTTAGACAGTCTCCTGCACATGGCTTTGTTGTCTTACATGTGCATTGCGCAAATTTTCTTCTGGAAGGTCTGCCACCTGCTTATCTCCATGGAAATGTTATTGCTTTGCTTGGAATATTCCATGGTGTGACATTAAACACATCCATCTAGTATGTATCCATTACAAGCATTTCTGTTGCTCAAAAATACAACAGTCCTTCTGTGAATAGGGGTGACTCTCCACAGATATGGCCGGTAATCTAATGTATAGTTGTGTCCCTTGAAATAGATAGGTTCGATCTCTACCGTGGAACAGTCTAGGCAAAGCAATAACATCTCCATGGAGACAAGCAGGTGATGGACCCTTCACTAGAAAAGTTACGGTGTGCAACTTAAAATCATAATCTCAAAATGATTGCTTTGTAAATCTTTTCATTTCGAAACCGTTGTTGACATCGTGTTATATTTGTGTTATCTTGCAAACATGATTCAGCAGCCAAAAATTAGTCTTCAGTAAGTAGACAGGTCAGCGTTGCCAGTAGAGCTTTGACTATGTGAGCCCGCACTGACGCAATGTGACAGGGGCCTGGGTCCACCAGAGTGTCTATTATTAGCACCGGAGGAGCTGGGGCACATGCTGGAGCTTCAGGTCAAAATAGATGTTTACAGAAAGGGGGGTGGTCTATGTGTTGTTCAGGGAGATACTTCTGTTGGTGTAAAAAAGACTGATGAAACTGCAGGTGTGTTGTGTTTTTGCACGTTTGTCAAATAGTAGCTGAAATGTGTATGTGTTGTTTGTTCTTGAAAAGTATGGACATTACTTTAAAGGTGCACTGTAGTTGGGGGCCCATCACCTGCATGTTTCTATGGATATGTCACTGTTTTACCTGGAATGTTCCACAGTATGACATTAAACGGCTCTACATTACATTTATTCAATTATAGGTGGTTTTATAGCTCAAAAATACCTAGAAAAATGGACATTCGGACTGTGAGTGGGGTCGCATCTCTACAGATCTGGCCTGTAACTTGGCAATAACATCTCCATTCTCCATGGAGAAAAGCATTTGAAGGACCTTCCACTAGAAAAGTTACACAATGCACCTTTCAACTGTCAACTAGTTTCTTAAAGCAACAGGTTTTGATGATTCTCAAATGTTTACTTAATTTGGTGGCATGATACCTGTTGTAACTATAACTGATAGTTTTACAGAAGAAGCAATTTGTGAAGAAAATGTGAAAAGTGTGTAGGTTTAAGGAATTCCATATTGATGACATTGTAGGGAGAATTCCATCCAAAAGTTATGCACAATGTAGATGCAGAAAACTTTTTTTTAATTTTTTTATTTCAACAATATAAAAGTGTTTTCTTAGCATTTTATTTTCAAAAAATATGTCAAATAATAATTTCTTTGTAGACTGTGTAGATGAAATGAGTAGTCCAACCAGTCATTGACACTTTCATTCAGATGTCTTGGTGGGACTTGGAGAAACTATACTTTCTTTACTTTTCCTTTTGCTACTATTTATCAAAAGCTGAATTTGGTGCTTTGGTACATTGGTGCATCTTTTTTTGTCTTTCTAATTAACCTTTCAACCTTCTCTTTTAGATGCTGATCACACTCAAGGCCCTATCGACGGAAGCCTATATGCCCGGGTCCGCAAAAAAGACTCCCTGGAGGGGGTGGTCACCATCAACGGCCTCCCAGTCCACGAGAACCCTCTGACCAATGCAGAAAGCTCCATCCAGACCACCAACCACTCCCTCCAGACAACCGACCAAACCATCCCCGCCACTGGCCCCACTGCCCTCCCCGCCGTCGACCACACCCTCTCCGTGAGCAGCGACTCGGGCAACTCCACCGCCTCCATCAAGACCGACCGCACCGATGAGCACAGCCAGTCCCTGCAGGGTGGGGTGAGCGCCAACAACCCGGCAGTGACCCACCCGCCCCTCAGCCCGCAGGAGAAGAGAGAGCTCGACCAGCTTCTGAGCGGACTCGAACCCCCGAACCAGCGCCAAGCCTACCTGTCCACGTCGACCAGCCCGGGAGGTGGAGTGAGGCATCTTGTCCCGGCGCAGGTGCACGTCAACGGTGGTCATAACAGAGCAATCAGCGCGCCTACGGAAGAACGGGAGACGGATATTCTTGATGACGAACTGCCGATCAGTCAAGAAGGCAATAGTGTGGACAGTTTAGGCACGATTTCTTCTTTGGACGGTCAAGCTACTCCAGCGGATCTTTACTACCAATCGCAAACTCCGGTCAGCCAAAACGACGGGCCCTACCTTGAGCGAGGGGGCGAGAAATTAACCGAGATGCCTGTGCACGGATCTAGGACTCCCACCACGATGCAAGACCACGGCGTTGACTCTCCATCCCCGCAGGGAGGATACAACAACTACCAGAATGGGAATGGGATGTACCGTTCACAGTCTGGCAGCAGTCCGGAGACGAACCCCAAGCTGATGCCGAGAGCCCCAGAGAGAAGCACTAGTAGCAGAGAGGCGGTTCAAAGAGGGCTGAACAACTGGCACCAGTACAGTCTCCCTGATGATCCCTTCGGTCCTCCGCTGCAGTCCACCCATAGCCTCCCGCACTTCCCAACCACAGCTTCTCAGAGGGACATCGAGCAGTCCATCGAAGCCCTAAACATGCTAATGCTCGACCTGGACCCCATCAACTCCCATATGTCCAAGTCCCACAGCGCGCCCACGGGGGAGAACAACCTCAGCGCGACCCAGGTTCCTTTCTCCCAAACCTTAGCAAGACCGTCGTACCAGGCGGACTCCGCGATCCACGGATATAATAATAATTCTGGTCCTGTCAACAGCGCCTTCCACCAACCCCAGCGCTCGCCAGGGAGGATTTCAGCAATGCCCAACCAGAGCCCCGTCATGGAATCGCCCACTTTCTCCCCGCAGCGTTCCAGTGCCGGTTACCAAAACACCACCCCTTCGCAAACCCCAGAACCTTACATCCATTCTCGGCAGGCAACGCCACATTACACCGAACAGTCCAATTTCAACCAGCAGAAACCTATGAACTCATACCAGGGAGGAGCAGTGTCCCACTCCCCAGACCTCCAGGGTTCATCGCCATACCCGGGCTACAGTGCCTCCTCCTCTCCCATCCCAGCACACACGCCCCAGCCCAAGGAAACCTCCTCCACATCTTTGGCCAGAGAACAGGATCCAGAGGAAGAGCTCAACCTGGAAGGCCTGGTGGCTCACAGAATTGCGGGTAAGAATAGAAGTAATTTAGAACTGCACTGGGAACTACTACTACTAGTGTCTCATTTTGTAGAGATTAATTATTTGGGAAGACGAGAATTGTGTTTGCCATTTATGTATTTATACTACGCTTCTGTTCAAAGTTCTTGGCTTCTCACAATAATTACATTCTTGACTTATCCTTCAATACATGATAGCTGGAACAATATTTTTTTCTGGCTCAGTATTTATTGTGTGTTCTTTTTCTTGTACTAGTATTAGTGAGGATATTTTTGCCTTTTGTGTGTGCTATGATAAGATTTGAGCTGTAGACAGGAGAATTAATAACTTTTTTGGTTAATTATAGGTTCCTTCTGCTGTCTATTTGCTGCAGCTCAGGCCTTTTAATGACATTGTATATTTAAAAATAGGTTTCCTGGGATTATCTTGCTAGGTGACGGAGGCATAAAGTAGCTTTTGTTTTAAATGTGTCTAGGAGACTTGACAAAAGGATTGACATAGGCCTATGAATTCACTTAACATAAGGATCACATGTATTTCAGAACTTGCTTGTTAGCAGTTTTTGTGCAGAACATTTTGGCAAGATTATATCAGTGTATACCATGGACAGTTGAATGGAAATGAGCCACTTTCTTCTGGGATTGACTGTGTTTTTAATGTAGCACAACTGATATTTAACCACTTAAACATACACTACCGGTCAAAAGGTTTAGAACACTAATTTTTCCAGTTATTTATTGCAATTCAAGTCGTGCAAGTCCAATGAAGAGCTTGAAATGGTACAAAGGTAAGAACTGAACAGACAGCTGTTAAAAAAAAGATAAAAGATAGAAAACACAAGTCCAAGCTCTGCCAAAACTACCTCAGGAAAAAAAGAACAAGATGGTGAGCTTGAAAACATGGAGTGTCCAGCACAGTGTCCAGACTTAAACCTCATCCAGCTGGTTTGGGATGAACTGGACAGAAGAGTGAAAGCCAAGAAACCTACAAGTGCCACACATTTACGCAAACTTCTGCAAGAGACTTGGGAAGAACTTTCTGAAGAATATTTGATTTCTATTGTAAAAAGAACGAGCCACGAGTGTGTTCAGCTGTTGTATCTGCCAAAGCTGGACATGTTCATGAATCAAAAGTTGAGAATATGTTTTGATCAACAGTAAACAGTAAAAAAAAATGGAAAAAGTGTGGTGTTCTAAAACTTTTGACCGGTAGTATATATTGTGTCATTTCCTGGTGGAGTGTCCGTCACCTGTTTGTTTTATGGATATGTCATTGCTCTGCCTGAAATGTTCCACAGTATGACATTAAATAGCTTTATCTTACATTCATTGAGTTACTGGTTAATTTATAGCTCAAAAATATTTAGTAACACAGGCATTCTCCACAGATCTGACCTGTAACTTGGTCTGGTTTGGAGTCCATGAAGATAGAAAGGTTTAATGCCATACTGTGGAGAAAAAAGTGTTTGAAGGACCCTCCACCAGAAAAGTTACACAATGCATCTTTAAAGTTATGTACCGTGTCACAGCTAACACATGCGCAATATTGAAAAATGCTGAATTGAAAAAAAGTTTTTGTTGTCACCTATTATTTAAAATCTACCTACAATTATAAAATGGCCTAAATCTGTCACTTGTAAACATTTATTTTATCCATTCATATCAGATCCTTTACTTTTATTTTTCATTATTCTCACCTTTCTTTTCTATCCACTGTGTCACTCTGTCGCTTCCTACCCTCTGCGCACTCTGTCTACCTCTCCACTCCTCCACCTCCACCTGCCTCACCTCCACACACCCCCTGACCCGACCCCGCCCCTGCCCAGAGTACAACGCTCGGATCCGGGGCATCAGCGAGAGCATCACCCCCCAGTCCGACCGCCTCCGCTCCTATTCCTTCTCTGGTTTGTCCTTTTTCCACTCACTTTTCCGTTCTTCCTTTTTATACTTTTTCACATTTTACCATGCGCCTATAATTTAACATTAAAGGGCCTCTATTGCACTATTTTTGATGTATGTGGTAATGTTGTTTCCTCATCACAAACATATCTGGATTCGTGTTTTGCTTCATTCACACGTGTTTAACGCACAAATCCTGTATATTTATCCTTTGTTCTTTTCTCAACCCAAAAACACTCAGTTCTTCCTTGTGATGTCATTAAGTGGTAATCATAGACTGTAAAGTGAATTTGAGCCAGAGTCGATGGAGTTACTCATTGAAACTTGACTTGTCAGTGGACCAGCAGATATTCGAGCCTTTCTGTGACATTCTCAAAGGTACAAAACGTAAAACAAAAATATTCAAACTAGAGATGAGCATGACTACTCGATTAATCGATAATTGATCATTAAGAATTTCATCGATTACGTTAATTTTTTAATCAACAAACCGAATGTAGGTTGCTGTGCGTTTTTTTTTTTATATATATAAAGTGAAGCAAATGTCTAGGTTTTCATTACCTTTCATTGGGCCATTAAAGTGAGGGGCTCTTGTAGTTCTTTGTGCACTCAGAAGGCTCAATTAAGAAAATTTTAATGAAAGCCCATCCCTAATTCAAACATCAAAGCAACAACTTAAGGTTATTCTGGAGTGTTGAAGAGAAAAACAGAGGTCAACAATGCCCACCCCCTAGTTCCGGAAGTAAATTTTCCATTCATTTTTCCCATAGACATTCCAAAAAAATCGTACTTATGTATAATCAGCTACGTGCTGTCTTAAGACCTCAAGATCAAAAAATTCTGTTAAAATCTGTTTCTGAAATTTTAGAAACCTCCACCTTGAAGTTATGTGCTTTTTGGACTTAACACAGACGCATTTTTGATATTTTTTTTACAGTAGCGCGTAGCTGGTCAATCTTAATATTTACATTTTTCCAAAGGTCTCTGGGGAAAATTAATGGAAAATTTACTTCCGAAACCAGAGTCAACTCCAAAATGAGTGGGACTTTAGAGCTCCTTTGATGCTGAATATACAGTAGCTGTTCGCTATTACTTAAAACTACCACTAAATGACATCACAAGGTAAAAGAAAGCATTCTGAGCTTTGGAGACACAGACAGCAAAATAATACATGGTACTCAAACATGTGTGAATAAAACAAACAAACTCCAGGTATATTTTTGATGAGGTAACAGCATTCAAACATGGCTAAAAGCTCACAGGAGTCATTTTTGCGTAATATAGGACCTTTAATAGCTATGTTGATTTGTACATGTCCGGTTGAATACATCGCAATTTATTTTGGGTAAATGTAGGAGTCAGATCGAGAGGAATGACCCCTGAAGTGACGCAGGAAACAGGCCGTCGTCGGACCACCAGCGAGGGGCAGTACCAGAGCAGCCTTGAAAACCGCTCCGGTGTCAATTCTCCGGACTTCGCCCAGAACTTGGCCCTCAATCCTGGAGGAAGACCGAGAGAAGTACGTATTACGTGTCATTGTCTAATTTCTGGACCTTTAAGTTGATGTAAATGGCATGCAAACTGTAAAATCAGATGTGGATAATCAGAAAGAAATTGTATGATTTTGCTGTTTACATGTAATTTTTTAAAGTGCACTATGTAACTTTCCTAGTGGAGGGTCATCAAATACTTACTTCTCCATGGAGATGTCATTGCTCTTGAATGTTGCAGTATTGTTGTAGTATTGTTGTAGTATTCTGTTGCATTCCGACTGTGACCAAGATCCAACCCACATGCTGAAACAACTGTTATTAAGCACTTTTAAATCTTAATTATTTGGATTATGACGAGAGAAGTAGAGCCTCCACAAAATATCATGAGAATATCGTATCATTTGCATATCATTACATCCCTGTTTGATGACACCGATGATCATAGACGATGTGTGGTTCTTGCAGGGCCCTATGCACAGCTACCGTGAGGCGTTCGAGGACCGTGAGGGCGGCGGCAGTCCAACGTTCAGAGGCGGTGGTGAGAGCTCCCCCATGACCCCATGCTTCCCCGTGTCACCACAGACTCCTTACTTCAACATGAGTAGGTCCATCCATTTGTAGCTCAAGAACCATGATATGCACAAAACTCTTCTAACACACATGAAATATTCTAAGCAGTACTAAATATTTTCTCTTTAAAACTGCTTTTTGCTGAGCTTTCTTGGGTTTGGTCACAACATGTAGCTATGTTTCTGTAGCAGGGGTGTGTCTAGGGAGTGGCCTGGATTCTGAGAGGCAACTTAAAGAGGATAAGGCAATACTGGATGTTCTATCTCCTGTAGTTTGGTCTAATGTATTAACAGAAATTTAGAAATTGAGTTATACATTCTACATTCAAATTTGGCTTAAAATTTTAAAGATGTGGTGCCACCTCTAGACCACTTTGAAAACAGTCTAGACACAGCCCTGCTCAGGAGGAGTATATAAGGAAACGAAAGGTAGGTAAAGTCCATTTTAGAGGGTTGGAAGGACACCAACTATTTTGATTTTGTAGTCTTATTTTACATGCCAGAACTCAAACAGGAATGCAAGCATTAAACCACCACACGTGTCCACCACAAGTAGACATAAGAGAAACAGGGCATTGTGAGCTGATGTAGGAACTACTGACTTTTCCCTCGAGTGCGATTGGCCCTTATTTCCCTAAAGAACAACTCTGTAGAAATGACATGAAAACAAAGCAAAAAAAGCAATGGCAGGTTTGCAAATACCTGTGTTTATCAGACATCCATCTTGTCTAATGTCCATCTTGTCAAGCTGGACTTGGTAATGGCACTGGTAATGTTTACTAAGAAACATGCATTGTCTGGTGGCAAGTGGACATGGTGCCCTTGCTGAGAGGACTGTGGATTAAACTCTTGTGTTTTGAGGCGTTGGAGGGTGGATTTGGAGTATTTTGCTGTATCTGTGGTTTTGCTTGAGATCATTACATCTTCATTGTGATGGACAGAATCCTAAAAACTCATTCGTTCTTTATATTGTTCTGTAATAAGTTATTGTCTGGAGCTTTTTAAATGCAGAATCTGAACAGCCAAATTTCTTTGTTACTAAAGCAAAACAGGATGTTATTGTATTTTCTTCCAGTTCAACTCAGTGTGAAGGGGCAATATTAAGCACTTTTACTGTTCCATGTGCACAAGCCCACCCTTCTGCCCCTCCCTCCTCTGCTCTTTTCCCTACGGTGTTACCATGGTTTCAGACTAACATACTCTGTGTCCAGGCTGTGTGTGTGCTCATGTGCACTCATCTGCTGAGAGCCACTGTGGACCTCAAAGGGAGAGTCAAAGGAAAAAGTCATTCATACTTTGGAGGAGACCGGTTTAGGTTCAGGAAGGCCCAATACGTTGAAAAAGACAGCGATCAAACAGAGTAGTTCATCGGCATGTTTTATTTAGCATTTATATTACATGTAAAACAAGACTTGCTGGAATGCCTTTAGAATTTGTTATCTGTAAATAATGGAGAATTATCAAAATGATCAATAATAATCTTACAACATATTACTATGCAGTATGGATTTAATCAACCAAACATTTAGGTGAAACTAAATTGTTTTAATAGCAGATAAAATACAGTTTCTTCACACAATCATGTGCTTCCCACACTGTTCCTTTGGTGACCAGAGCCCCACAGGCCAGATTCCCCACTGGACACTCTAGCTGCCCCCCCTGACCCCAGGCTTCATACTCCCTCACTCGTCCGTCCATCCACATCCATTGTCCAGACAGATAGCGCAGACCCATCCACACGTGTGCTGTGGAGACGTCTTTGTTCAGCTCTCTTTGGATCAACATCATCTCTGTCTCTGAGGAGATGGTGGCCAGGTCTGTGTAGTGGGTTCTACAGTGGTCCAGAGCCTCCTCCCAGGTCTTCTCCTCCCTCACCACATGCACACTGTAGCAGAAGAAATGTCCTAACATGTCCGGTGCATCATGCCACTTATAATTAATCATTATTCCATAATATTCACTCCAGCCATTATTAGGCTGACTGTCATCCCAAAAGAACCTCTTCACTTCTCCACCTCCAGACCACATGAACTTGCTTGGATCAGTCTTGTTCCTGAGTAATCCAAACCAGATAAAACCAGAATTTTCCCCGGCCAGTTTTCGGAGAAGGTCCATGTCTGATTCGTCATTGACAGGTGCCAGGTCAGTGAAGTCTTTCACGCAGTCTGAATGAGCATCAGCCCAGTTTTTGTACTTTTTGATATATTCATACTTGAGTGCAGCAGATATGGTTCCCAGCAGCAGAAGGAGTTGGAGATTTGGACTCATGGTTGTGAGAAATATTTAACAAAGCTTTCCATATAGCTTTTGCTTTTTTTTTTTTTTTTTATTTGCATAGGGAGGGCCTTTTTTGTTACATCATATGTCACATGTCATATTAATGGAGTCTTCTTTTTTTAATAAGCTTTAAAAAAAAAAAAAAACTGTCCATTTTATCAAACAAAACATAATGCAGGCTTTTATTATTCATTATATGTCATCATATCATTATAACATTAGTACCATTTTGGCTAACTATTTGGCAAATTGTACACAAGGTTCTTTATTTCTCCATAAGTTCGTTTGTTTCTAATTTGCCTGAAAATCAACATAGAGGGCGTAACCCAAGAGCTTAAAATCATTTGCGTGTGAGTGTCATCTCTCACTGTCTGAACTCTTTTAGCCCATTGATGTTTGATTAGTTTGAAGCTTTATCCAATAGATCTGAACTACAGATTTGTGTAGGGAGAATGAACAGCAGTATTTTAAAATCACGGATATCTTGAACAAACATTTATTATTGAGTTTTTTTATGTTACATCAGAAAATATACATTAACTACACAATCTTCTTTGTATACACACTGAACTTTGTCTGATAGCTAAAAAAAACAAGGGTGGATATGCATTTTAGGTGCATTTTAGGTGTGACTTTTTGGTTAGGGGTCCGTCACCTTTTCTGTGGATATACCATTGCTATGCCTGGAATGTTCCACAGTATGACATTAAACACCTTTACTTTACATTTACTAAATTACAAGTGGCTTCATAGCTCAAAAATACCAAGAAAAACAGGCATTATGACAGTGAACTATGTTGCCTCTGCAGATCTGACCTGTAACTTGTAACTTGGTCTTGTTTAAGTTTAATATCATACTGTGAAATGTTCTAGACAAAGAAATAACATCTCCATGGAGAAAAGTATTTGATGGACCCTCTATCGGAAAAGTTACACAATGCCCCTTTAAGGACTTCACTCTTCAATCAAACAGATTAAAAGATTTATTTAGTCTACCATTAGTGATGTCACGATACAACATTTTCAAACTCGATTTCAATACTGAGGAATTCACTCAGTGTTTGATACTGATTATGATACCACAATGAAGACAAACAAATCCTTTTTTTAGTAAGTAGTTTAACACAAAATAAAAGTAACTCTATATCTCAAAATCAAGCTCAAAATCACACAAAAACTATCTAATTTTGATAATAGTTTTAATATATGTGTCTCATTTTTGATACTTTTCACAACTATTACTGCCAAAGTATTTTAGATGTTAATGCAATTTTACATAGAATTTTATGGAATTTTGTCAACAGCATCTCAAAACTATACATAACCTTCTTGTGGCCCATTTTAGGTTTCATACTCATGCTCATATACTCAAATACTTGGCATTGGTCAAGATCTATAAACCACAACTGGCAACACTTGGGAACCATTTTGACTTCTAAACTGCCTGGTCTGGTCTTTTCTCAAAGAATAAACACTCTGTTCTACCTTTTGGTGTCATGTGGTAATACAAGAAGTGTTCCACTGTGTTTTTACTCCTCCTATACACCTTCACGAAAAACATTTGGATGATTTCAGACCTGGAATTGCCAATCTCCACCGAACTAAAGGTAAATGGTAGTTGTTAACTTGAAAACTACTGCTTCTTGAGGTGCAACAGAGCGTTTTGAGCTTTGGAGCTGTAGACAGACTAATAACGGGCTACTCAAACGTGTGAATGAAACATAACACAATTCCAGCTATAGTACAATGAGGTTCATATGGTCTATGGATATTTTATGTTATTATGTTCTTTTTTCAGACCAAGAGTTTGTTTTCATACCTGACAGTTTTGACTGCTCACTAGCGTCTTCCTCAGAGTGGTCACGTGATGTTGCTGTGGCGTGTCTGGTCAGCTGATTTATACAGGTTTCTCTAGTGAGCAGTCAAAACTATCAGGTACTCTTGGTCTGAAAAAAGAACATAATAACATACAATTCCAGGTATGTTTTTGATGAGGTAACAGGACTTAAAGCTCACAAGAGTCCATTGTGTACTATAAAACCATTAATAAAAAAAATGGCAATTATCAGATGGGAAATTGAGCAAATATTATTCAGTGATGATTTGACAACTGAAAGACAGTATAATTTGTCAACCAGAATTAGATTAATAGCAGATAAAGTTCAGTTTCTCCTGACAGTCATGAGCATTGCATTGTTTTACCCCTCCACTGCTGACCACCAGAGCTGCACAGGCCAGATTCTCTCCTGGACACTTTGGCTTACCCCCCTGACCCCAGACTTCATACGCCCTCTCGTGTCCATCCAGCCACATCCATTCTCCAGACAGAAAGTGCAGACCCATCCACACGTGTGCAGTGGTGACATATTTGCTCAGCTCTTTCTGGATCAACATCAGCTCTGTCTCTGAGGAGATGGTGGCCATGTCCGTGTACTTCTTTCTACAGTGGTTCAAAGCGTCCTCCCAGGTCTTCTCCTCCGTCACCACATGCACGCTGTAGCACACGGAGTATGCCAAGTTGAAGTCTTCTGCGTCGTGCCACTTAAGCTTTATCAAACCTCCATAATTTTGATCACCAGGTGGCGCAGGCTGATTGGTATCCCAGTAGAACCATGTGGTTTCTACACCTCCAGACCAAAACCACTTACTTGTGTCAGTCATGTTTCTCATTAATCCAAACCAGACCATTCCAGAGTAGGTCCCGATCAGTGCTTGGAGAAGGCTGATGTCCCATTCGTCATTGACAGGGGCCAGA